CAAAAAACCAACCACTAGTGTGCAAGTGTGTACTTCAGAAGACAACAGCAAGGATCAAATACAGACCCAGTTCAATCTGAAACACGGTAGCCAAACTGCTTGACAGAGAAATAGCTCTCACTGCAAATCTCATCTTCAGTTAGCGAGTGCGCTTATATATACTGGTATACACACCTGCCACACGCACACAAACCCCTCCTTCCCCCATCCTTCAGTACAATCTGCAGCATAATCATCATTAGCAACCACCAGAACGCTTTGGAAGCACACAGGCAGCCCCTGAGCTCCCACAGCACCGCCTCCTCGCGAGCATTTCAGGAGCATTCAGAACTGCACCGGCGCAGCGAGAAGCATTCTCAACTTTGTCTCTCAAAGGATACAGCAACGCTGACTCTTTGAGTATCCTCCAAAGGTGCTAGAAGCTTTAAGTTTGAAGCGTTTCTTTCTACAATGCCAGGCATACAAACGTGGATCTCTTTTAAATAATATTGCACATAAAAATCATCTTAAACTTCGTAGTGAAAGCAAGGTTGGAGGACAGTGTTTCCCAAAACAGATTAAAAAGCTACCTGTACATATTAAGTTTTAATTTAAAGAACGCCAAGATTATTCAAAATCTAAGCACATAATACTGACAGAAAAATGTTAAATTGCACAATCTACATATAAATTACATTTGTAAATACTTAAAAGTTTTTAAACATCGAATACCCTTGATTTCACCAATCAGCTGGGTCACTGGCAGAGGATCAGCTCGATGAGTTAGAAGTACTTTCCCCCAGAAAAAAAATAGAAACAAAAAGATCTGCAGTCTTAGACGAAGCACTGGAAAGAGTTAAAGCATTTCAGCTCAGAGGTAGTGCTAAACACATCCAACTAGAAGTCCATTATATCTGAACTATGATGAAATAACGTAGTAAAATGTAGAAAGACTATAAAATTTACAAAAATAAATAGTTCTGAATGCTTTAGAAAATGCAAGAGACTTTGTTGACAAGTGTCTTGATCTGCTTTTCCGACCAGAAGAAAGCAAAGCGTTGTCTCATTTTTAAAATATACCCATCTCTAGTAATGTGTCTGCATCCATTCAATCCAACTACGCAACTCGACGTATGCTGACGTGGCATAGACTCTGATATTAAAAATAAAGTGGAGGCTTTGTAAAAGATCATCTCATATGAAATTTGTTTTGCATGTAAATTCTTCTGACAAATTAAAAATTGCACATAAAAAAGTTTATTGAAAGAGGCATGAGGGGTGAGAAGGGTATGTGCCTAATGTTCCACATGTACCCTGGAGGGAAAAAAAGATGATTGCACAGTTCTGATAAATAAATATTTCTTAAAAAAAAAAGAAAAAAGAAAAAAGAAAAAAGGACCACCACCTTCCAGGTTTAAAAGTTTTGGAATTATTTAGGAAACCTCACTACAGACAAGTTATTTTTAGCTGTGTTTTAAATAATTCTTTACAACGTTTCCAGTGGCTTTTATCCTGAAACCAAATGAAAGCGGCAGTCAAAAAGTATCTTTGGGTAAAACAAATATCAGGACCCAACCAGAATTTCCATGATGTGGTCCAACTCACTCAGATCTGTTCTACATATTTGAATGTTGTTTGCTGAGGAAGAATTACAAGTTGGAAAGGTCTTCAACGGTTCTTCTGTAGCAAGAGGTGGTGGTCTGGGCGGCATCAGCGGGGGGCAACAGAAGTCTGAATCGTACATTGAAGTATCGATATCTTCAAAAATGTCATCTATTGCCAGATCCTTCAAGTAGCTGGTTGAATTGGAAATCTCAAAGGAACCAAACACGCATTCGGCTCCTTTCAAATCCTGTCTATCATCTTCTAGCTTTAGACCGGGATTTTCTGGAAACTTTGGCTGGTCATCTCCAGCAGGAACCAGACAAGTAGGTGGGCTTATATCTTCTACAAAGTCTAAATCCTTCAGAATAGACGAAATAGCAGACGACATATCATCATCTGAAACTATCAGCAGGCTATTTTCAATTGGGTCCTCCACAGACCTCAAGTCACAACAGTTAGACTCTTGCTGACTAATACCTGAAGGCAGCTGTAGGGAAATCCCAGATGACTCCATCCCTGTGTAGCTGGGAGAACTAGGAGTAATGCCAGTGCAGACGGTAATTGCCTGCTGATTACTCTCTTGTCTCATTTCCTCTTGAATTTGCCGCACTGTGTTGGCTATGAGGACAGAGCGGTGCAAGTTCGGTTCCACCAGCATTTTGTAAGTCTGTAGCTTGGTGAGGCACATGTTAAGCACCAGCTGCCTCTTAACTGGGTATGGCAGATTTCGACTGGAATCGAAGGCACTAGAGAGACCAGCCATGTTCTCCTCATAGTCACTCAGTTTGCGTTTTAGGCCTCTCCCCAACATGAACCTGAAAGAGAAGAACTCTGAATTAACCTTGGCCAACACGGTCACTTCCGTAAGATCTCAACAGGCACCTTTAGAAGTCCACAGCAACTGGCTGACTTAAAATTCTAATGCTGTAGAACACTGAAAGACAGTACAAAACCCCAGATAAGATAATTTAATTCAGAAGATGCACCTTCCACCTGCACTGTTTCACAACATTTTTGCAAAGGAGAAACACTAGAAATAGAGTAACTGCTGCCCAAAAAAGCAGCCTAAGAACTTCCAATTCCTATTTTTAATGTTTACTTTCAACTCTACTATGAGAATAAGAACTTTATAGCTTATCTGTGTTTTTTAACCTCTACCAGTAAATTACACAGCATATGAGATTCATTAATGAAGTTTAAAGTCTTACATCCATATGAAAGGAAATAGTTGCTTAGCAGTTTAACTAAAGGACGAGAGGAAATCTGGCAGTGTCTCAGAGCTCAAAGAATCATTACCAGTACCAGTGGCCACCAGTTCACAACTTGCTAGTAACCTAACTCTATGGATATCCAGCAGGAGTGTTTCACACAGAAGTTTAGTAGTGAACAGTAAACACTGGTAAAATACTGATTACACACATCTTGATGTGCTCGAGGAATACAGGGACCTCACTCCCAAACAATTTAAAAAATTAAGCAATTGTACATTAGACACTCAGTGGCAGATCAAGGGCAGATCCTGAACGTACAGAGATCCAGACACTGCACAGGGCCTCCCAGCTTCCTTTTCATGTGAGCACTGGGCACTGCCAGCAGCAGCTCAGCTGATGGCCGCAGCTGCCAGCTGCTAGACTTTTGGGAACAAGGAGATGGCAGCAGGATAAAGCCTCTTTTACTTCTGGGATTTCTCCAGATTTGTAGGAAGCAACGCAGGGCTCCATGGCTACGTTCATGTGCCTGGACAAGGCTGCTGGAGAACTCAGCTCCTCTGGAGGAACAGAAAGTGAGCAGGCAGTGTGTGCTTCTCAGTTAGAAATGCATGAAAAACAGACAGCAAGTAGAGCAGTCTATGTTTACAACTTCTAAATCATACCCACAGTTTCTGGGACACACCTAAATAAGTTAAGCCTGTTGTAAGAATGTGTTTTTGCTTAATGGGTAAGTAGCTTGAAAAATAAACACAATTAGCTATCACTTATGCCATTAAAAAAAAAAGATTAAGTGAATCTTTCATTTCTCACAATTCTACCAAAGCTGCAATTTTTCTAAGCTTCAAATATAAGTTTAAACTTTGTAAGCTTAAGAATGTGTTCTACTCTGATTTTTTTTCTGCCAAACTACCAGAGCAGCAGCTGAACTTCTTGATAAAAATGAGGTGTCTGAATGCTGTGTGCCTACTCATGTGCCCACACTGCCCCCAGCCCTGCACCCCATCTGAAGCAAACAGAGCCAGGCAGTACTGAGCACTCGGCTACAACAAAATCAGCACCAATCCACGTACAAAGTTCAAGTGCCAAATATTAAAAGGGGATGTGCACGTACACAATAGGCACTGCCTGTGAAACTATCAGCAATACTGCCTGCAACTGGTAACATCGCACACAAACCAAGGGAAACTGCAAGTTACACAGGCCCTTACAATAAAGTTGTTGCTAGATATGCCAGTGCGTGGCATACTGTGAAGAAACAGCACCTGCCTATCAGTGACAAATCACACGGAAATCACTAACTCTCCATCTTAAATAGCATTTAAGGTTGTGCAATCTAAGGCATGCCCACATACCCTTCCTGTATGGAACAAAAGCACACATCAAACCAGCTCTGTGTCTGCTAAGCACCGTCGTTCCCACACACCACATATTAGCTGTGTTGGATTTTTCCCCCCCATTCTCTACTCAAGCAGACCAAAATTCCTATTCCCAAAGGAACAAAATACAGAGCACGCACGGAACAGCAGTTCTGATGGTTCATACATTCAGAATGCTTGGTTTTGCCACTTTACAGCTGTTAGCAATCTTAACCTCTGACATCTCAAACGTGCTAGTGTTTCAATTCTGTAAGCAAGCTTAAAGAGCATGCAAACGTGCACGAGGACACGTCATTTCACAGAACAACTCAAACCCAAATGTTTAACATTTCAACTCATACAGTAGGCTAGACTAAGTATTTTATGCTCCCATAGGAGACACCCTCCTTTCCTTTCAAAAAGAAGTGTCCTACAGTATTCCTGACATACGTAACAAAGCTCGGGTCTGACAGTACTTTGAACTGTAAGAACTAAGTGCAAGGAACAATTTCAAGTGCTTCTATTTTACAGACTCCCCATTCTCCACATGTTGCAAAAGCCTTCTGTGTGTGGGGGGGGGGAGTTTTCTGATTATTATGATTTAAACATACTCCTATCTTACATTTCATTAATTCTGCCTGATCATTTTGATTTTTGCCTAATTGCAAGGCTGCTCAAGTCTCTGGCAAATAAAAAACAGTGCCACCAGTACAGCGGATTTACAAGTGACCAGTGGCATGGTTGCTACAGGAGACATGAAATTTCTTGTCAAACATACTCAGCTGCTGACCTACAAAAGATACAGAGTCCCTTTGTTACCAGCTAATCCACATTTTACCAGGTCTTTTGCTTTACTTTTGAGCATAAGAATTTCTGACAGGGTCATATTCTTAACAAACTGCTCTGTACTCACATGCAATTTGTCCTCTCGTAGCACTGCCCAAACCAAAAATCACAACCAACACCCTTTTATGATAGCACTGTAAGCCACTCTTTCCCTCAACATTAAGAAAAAGTTCAAAGATCCAACTTTTATAATCTTTTGTTATGGGGGAAAAAAAACACAAAAGCATAATAAGGAATGTAGCATCTCAACAAGTTTTCTGGTGTTTTCTCATCCTCTCTCATTACAGTAATGCAAACAGAGCCACAGCCCATTTAGGACTAAACACTCTTTAATTGAAGTTATTTTGTGGGAAAAAAAAAACCAACAGAGTGAATTTAATGTTCGGGAGTGCCAAACTCTCTATGTATGGCATGCACAGAAATTCTGCCCCTGACAGCACGCTCCTCACTTACTTTCAGTTCCACGGAGTCCATTTAATAGAAACTCCTCCCTGCTAAGAAGAGCAGAAGCCTCCATGCTCTGTAACCCTACACTGTACCCAAGTTGGAAAAAAACTTGGAGGGAAGAGGCACGTTATGGGTTGGCAGATCTGCAGAGAACAGCAAACACACAGGCCTGCTCAGAGCTTGCAGTTACTCAGAAGAAACATTCCAGGCTACCAAGAAAAATTCACATTGCAACGTGTCGCAGACAATGCAGGACTCGTGCCACCATTTCAGATGAAAAACACAGCTCCATCTGTCACGGGGTCTGAGAGTGCAGTGCAGCTGCCACTGACACATGGTTAGGAAGTGCAGCTGGAAACAGCCACAAAGAACACAGCACGTGAAAACTCTCCATTACTCCTATTTAAGCAAACTACCACTACATTTCTTCTTCCTCACCTCCCCACAACATTTTAAGAGAGAGGTGAGCAACAGGTAGAATGTGGAACTGCCCAGAGCTTTCATTTTTAGACAAGAGAAGAAAAGTTTCAAAAAATAAGTACATAAAAGCTGGCTGGTAAGTCAAAATTGCATGAACACAAACTTGACATGCAGAAAAGCAGCACTGCAGTTAACTACACAAGAATTACTGTTGCCACTAAGTAGGTTTAAATGCCTAGATCACCAACAGAGTGCTTGGCCCGCACCATGCAGGAGGTCCAAATTATTTCCTCTCACCAGTCCCTTCTGGCTTCTCTTCTGAGGTTATCATTAAATTCAAACTTGCTTAATTCTTCACATGCAGTGTTAAGTTTTTCAGCCTTCATCTGTCTCTGGTGATAAATGACTGTTTCTTGTGAGAGAAATATTAGATTTGAACAGATGTAAGCACCTCCTAAGTGAAAGCTGCCTGCCTAGTTTCCAGTAGGACAACTGTACTACCTTGAATTCACATCAATATTAGAGACTCCTCACTATTTATAATACAGGTAATTCTCTTTAAAAGTCTCCTTTGGCACATAACCATCCAAAACACCAAACGTAGAGCCAGCCTGACTGCAGACTTCTGATAGTGACTGACTAAAGCTGGCTGATAACCTGATTTCCTGCCCTCCTTCCACAGGCACACGCCACAAGCATGCATCCATCTGCAGGAAACACAAAGGACGACAAACATCCCCACAGCCAATGGAAATCTCCCAGAACTATCCAATGTATGCTGCATGCTGGTTCTAATGACACCTCTCCCCTACCACACATGTGTTTGAGCACAGGCAACACAACTTCATTAAGTTTTAATTAAGTGGTGGGTGGAGTCTTGGCTAGTATTGCATCTATCAGAAGCTGCAAAGGAAAAAGGTACGACTGAAGGTAGAGTTAACAGTCTAAATCCTTTCCCTCCATCTGGACTTAACACTGATCACTTCAACACGACTTACATAACACAGTAAGCTGTCAACAGACCTCACAGGGCAGCCTATCTGAGCTGCTGGAGATCCCCACACAGCCACATCCCGGCTGCAACTGAAAATTAAGGGGAAGTAGGGGCAGGAGGATTAAATGCCTGAAAAGACTGGAGAGTAAGAAAGTAACTCAGACGAGAATACACTGTAAAACACACAAAGATGTATTTAAGTCCCCTCCTCCCCGCCCTGCCCCGTTTTAGCCAAGATGAGTAACTGCTAGAGGTGGCTAAAAATGTACATATAGGGAGGAGTGCAGTCCTACCAGCTTACTCCCATACCTAAAGTCCTATGTAACAGTCTCTTTACAGGAGTTAGAAATGGCCAGAACAGAGCTGCTCAAAGAAGGGAGAACTGAGGTCAACGTTGGGTCACGAAATCCTGATCTATTAACACCAAAGTCTTTCCTGCTACTTCTCCGCTAACCAGAACACAGAACCAAGACATGCCACTGTTCAGACTTAAAAAAAAAGCAACCAAACAAATAACAAAAATAGAACACTCCACACATGGATGCACCTAGCATCTTTTCCTGTATTCAGAAAATAAAAATAGGCTGAAAAGTATTCATTAATTAAGAACAGGAAAGAAGTGAGAGGAAAACTGAGCTAAGCACAGAATTACTTTGTGGAATTCATAACCTTCCCACTGTCCCTTCAGTATTTGTGGAAACGGAACAAATATCTACCATACAGTAATATTTTAGGGACTGAAATTATGTTTACGAAGCACTTATGAGCAAGTTTTACTTCTATTTAGAATTTAGATGAAGGCAACCTCCCATCTATTTATATTATGTCTAATTATGTCTAATACTAATTCCTACATTTGGAGGACATGGTCCTAAGTTCCCTACTCCCTTCTTTGGTGCTGATAAGAGCTTTGCTTTAAAAGCTACACCACACTAAGTTTCAGGGCACAACATTTCACTCTGGACAAGACGACCCTCAACTGTGATGTACATTTTCCACAAGGTACAAACATGCAGCTCTGGGCGATTTACAACTGTAAACAAAACACATTCTTAGCAACTGCTATCTATCACTACAGGCTGATAATATAGATGTACTCAGGCATTACCACTGTTAAGCAAATACAATTCTTCATACTTAGGGAAAACCCAACAACTAAACAAAAGAGCCACCAGCATTACTCTCCTCTTCCCTTGTGACTGTAGCTCCACACACACAAGCAAAGCTCACAGGTGTGTATTTTTAATGAGGAAGCATCTAGCAGATATTTTTCAAGAGTGTGGAGTGTGGATTTTTTTTGTTTGGCTGGCTTTTCAGGTTCTTTTTTAAGCAGGAAGACAGGAATCATTTAAACTGGAGATCAATAGTAGATGGTAAGAGCTAACACCTGATCAAGAGTTACTAAATCAACGAACTCCCATAATAAAACTAGAACATAATTAAATGAGAACACACGAAACCAAACAAGAGACAAACAACCACAGTTCCACCTAAGGAAAAAGGACTGGGGAGGCAAATGATCCTTAGAACTTTCAATGTGAGGACAAACCAGTAATCAAGTGAATAATTATCAATCCTCTTTTCTTACATGATCTTTAACTTCAAACAGAGATACTGAACGAATTCACCTACTTAATACTAACATATTCTGGGGTTACAGTGATCTAGATGTAGATCACAAAACAAACAAAATTTACAGCTTATTACCTGTGTCAAATCTGGACACCTAAACAAAGCCTAAAGCACTTCACTTTGTACTATATCATCACAGAATCATAAAATCACAGAATGGCCTGGGTTGAAAAAGACCACAATGATCACCTAATTGCAACCCCCCTGCTATGTGCAGGGTCACTAACCACCAGACCAGGCTGCCCAGAGCCACATCCAGCCTGACCCTGAAATATATATACTGCAATTTTTAACTTTATTATTCAGTTTACCATTCTAGCCCACAAAAATAACACTTACAGCTGATTATGAGAACATGGAATATGCTCAGAAGATTTAAAAATATACAAGCAGATACCCTTAGAAAAGAGAGAGGAGTCCAGGCAGGAAGATTCCGGATTTTGCATAAAGTGTGGTCATCCAAAGAGCCTCCAGCTACTCAGGGGTCCAGGCCATCCACAGAGGTAGGATGATGGGACTTAAAGGGAAAAACATGAAAAAAAATATATTAATTGATATGATATTTTTAAACAGGAAAGATTAAGCTTGCAAATCAATAGAGCTATTCCAACGACTGTGCTAAATCCTACTAAAGCAGTGAAACTGGAATACGAAAAAACAAGAGTTCATCAATGCACTGCAGTACGAGGACCTGGTAGTTCCACCTACAAAGACATGAAATGTGAAAATTATGTATTCTTCCTCAAAATGACAGAAGAGCACTGATCCTCCACGTGTTGGGCTTTTGGGTAAGAACATGCACTGGTACTTCTTCAGGTTACTGAATGCTGACTTCCAATTGCAGTAATATCAGAAATCACACATCAGGAGAATTGTGAAGTACATTTCAGAATTAACTCCTAACTTTTAGAGGCTGCAAAACGAGATCAGTTTTTATGGAATGCCCTGATTCCTCTCATTTTCAGCACAAATGGAACCACTGCAAGTAGATAACAGGCAGGATGCCCCAGGACTGCATGTAATCAGCACAGCATCATTTTCATCAGAACTCTGATAAAGCAACATCTGCAGTGTGCCAACAGACCACACGGATTAAATTGTGGATTAGACCAAAGACTGGAAACACAGGGGGACATGAAAAGGCTGAAGTGACAATGATCTGAGGAAGAGGCTGGGACGTGCAGATGGAATTGTATGATCCGTGTTCTTGTGGTCTCAGCTGCACCTGGAGAACCCAAGTTCCTTAGTTCCAAGATGTAATGCCCTTATGAAGGCTGGCAGCCTACCCTCTGCATTATACTTAATGTGCTTGTGTGTATGCACGCATACGTACAGATGCCCACCCACAGCATTCCAACTATTTCACAGTTACCAAAAGATCCAAGATCAGTTTTATCCAGATGATCACTGGGGACTGCATTTAAAGAACAACAGTTCATATGCTACTTAACTCTGCTTAAAATAATACGCAGCGAAAGCTGGTATCGTATTTAGCCAGACAGAACAGTAAATGAATACATGTGATTTTAGACAGCAACTCCCAGCCTGATCCTATCAAAGGGCTCTTCCATTCACAGGTTCTTGGAACTGAAAAGGTGCAGTGAAACAGCACAGAGGTGCTCGTGGCTGATAATGCTCCATGTAACCTCAGTAATAGGTACAGCAATACTGCCCTCCCACTTCTAGAAGCTGACTTCCTTATGAAGGAACGTTTGGGCCGGAAGGGACCATTAAGATCATGCAGTTCCAACCCCCACTATGGGCAGAGACACCTCCCTCTAGAGCAGGTTGCTCACAGCCCCATCCAGCCTGGCCTTGAATGCTTCCAGGGACGGGGCATCCACAGCCTCTCTTGGCAACCTGTTCCAGCGAATCATGAGAAGACCAATGTTATAAGTAACCAAAAAAATGAGACAAATAAGTCATAGTCTTTTTCTTGTTTTGCTGCAAGAACAACAGCTTAAAAAGTCAACGTGGTGATCTTCTGAGGTGTAGCTGCTAAGTCATGAGGGGGGGGGGAATACATTAACTGGCCGCATTTTCTACACACTAAAGATGAAAGGACAAACGTTTCACAGTGCTAATTCTTTTCAGTATTAAATGCCCCTCTAAAAAAAAAACTAACAAATAAGCCGCAGCAGTTAAAAGTTTTGGATTCGGGATAAGAAAGGCCCAGAGCTCTGCCCACTGTATTTCAGAAGCCCGACCTTTTGCTGGAAGGAGCTGGAGTCCAAGGAGTTATGAAACTTAACTCTTTTATTCCGCACTTTAACAAATCCCTTTAGCATCAACCGTTGAGGTTACAGCGTTTCCCCTGCACGATCTCACGGAGCGGCAGCGCGGAGGGAAGGTTGGCGGGCTCAGATCTTACAACCCACGTAGCGAACGAGCGGTACGCAGCGCACGCAGCAGCCGCACAGCAGGCACTCCTCGCCGGGCGCAGAGCGCTGAGGGCGCCGCACGGCCCGGGCCCCGCCACCATTCGGCCTTTGTGGCAGCAGGCGGGAGCCGCGCCGTTACTTCCTGCACCTCCCCCCGGCCGTAACCGGAGCCGCCCCCGTGCTCCCCGAGCTGCGAAAAGTTGCACTCCTCCCCCTTCCTGCCGCCGGCGGACCTCGAGCGGCTAATTATAACTGCGCGGCCAACTTCCAGCCCCGGGCCCGGCGGCGGCCCGCTCCGACCCCTCGCCCCGCGCCCGCCCGGCTTCCCTCCGGGCCCGCCGCGCCCGCCGCCCGTTCCTCGCGCTCCCCTCGTGGGGCTCAGACCGAACGCCCCAGCCCCCCGCCCCCCCCCGCGCGGCCGTTACGCCCCCTCACGGCGCCTCCCCCAGCCCCTCGGGCCGCCGCCCGGCCTGGCCCTACCCTGCGCCTCACCTGGCAGCGGAGCGGCCGACCCCGTTCCGTCGCCGCCTGCCTGCCTGCCTGCTTGCTTGCCTGCCTGCCTGCTTGCCTGCCGTGCCCTCCCGCGCCTACCGGCCGGGCTCCCTTCGGCGGGGCTGGGACTCCGACCGGGAGGAGGCACCACCCCCGCCGGGCCCCGGCAGCCTCCGCTCCGCCCTTCCCTCCGCCCGCGGCACCCACAGCGGTGGCGGCGGGGAGGGGTGTGTGTGTGTGCGTGTGTGTGTGTGTGTGTTGGGGGGGGGGGAGTGGAACGCCGCGCGCACGGCGTCCGCCAGCTGGCCGCGTCCCTATTGGCCAGCGACCGTCACAACCTGCCCAGCAACCATTTTCTCACTGGTCCACGAGCCCGGGGGAGGTTGGGCTCCGGCTGGCCCCGCGGCGCCGCCCAATGAGACAGCCGGAAGAGCTGAAGTGGGCGGGGCTCTCCGCAGGCTTCGCCCAATCGCTAGGCGGGCGCCACTGAGTCCCCCCCACCCACCAGTCTCCCGGCACGGCGCTCCGGGTGCCGCGGGCGGAGGGCGGGGGGCAGGCAGGCACGGGGCGGCACGCGGCACGGCTGCACGCCTCGCTACCCGCGGGGAGGGCCCGGCTCCGCCCGCAGCGCTAGGAGCCGGCCGGAGCAGCAACGCGCCGCCAGGCTTCGCGCGGAACCCGCATCTTTGCCCTGCTTTTATTGCTGTTATTAAACCTAAATAAAGTGAAATTAAAGTCGCTGACCGAAATCGCCCTGTTTAAAGGAGGGGCTCCCACAACTGCGTCCTGCCGTGCGGGCGCACACGCCTCGGCCCGCTGATAACGCCGCGTCAAACGCTCCGAAAAGCATTTTCACTTCAATTTCTTTCTCCCTTTACAGATGAGAGCTTTTTGGCCGCGCTCGCAGCCGTTTTCTATTTGCTCTCCGTGAGCGTTTGGGTAATCAAGTGACAGCGGCACGATGCTTGTGCAAGGCCGATTTCAACACCTGACGTCCACGTAGTGATCGGTCGGAGCCGTCATCAGCCCCAGCAGGGCCACCTGAAACCCCAACGGCCCGGCCTAGGCCAACCCCACAGGGCCGCGGGGCCTTCTTCCATCCCCCACCCCCATTCACGACCTAACGCTGACAGAAGCCCGTATTTTCTCTAGGGATAGCACGTCTTCCAAGTCCTCCATGCTCTCCCATTTTGCTTGAAATCCAAAGGCAAACAGAAGACTTAAGAACATGAATTTTTTATAATTCAAACATGGCCTTTCAGTCTGACTCCTCTCCCAGCACACGGCAGGACACCGATCTCACAAGCAGCCTTGTGACTTTCACCCTCAATTCTGCAGGAGGCAGAAAAACCACGCCCCAAACACGGGCTCTATATGTAACCCGGCTGAAAGGAGCGCTGGGCTCTGCTCCCCCGCTTACCTTAGCGCTAGGCTGCTAGTTGGTAACAGCCCCAGGAGGCAGGAACTGATGCAGACTGCTTTCCTATGGATTTACGTCTGTGATTAATTGACTCTGCATCTAATGCTCTAATTGAAGCTGGTCTTCTGCCTGGAAATTGAAAAATGTCTCTATTTTATCCCAGTTACCAGACTCAGCACAATAGTTTTCTTCTGGTCTTTCACCCGCACACTTCTCCATGTGGCAACAAGACCTGGTTGCAATTAATGAGCTAATTGAAGTGGAATTGCACAACAATCACGGTGTGCCACACTTCCATGGCAAAGTGAGGAAGAAGAGCGCACCAAGCCTCATGAGTTTCACCATCTCCTTCTGTTGGTTACGCCTCTATGAGCTACTGATTAACCATATATTTAATGCCAGTCCAAAAATAAAATAAAATAAAATAAAATAATAATAAAAAAAAAATCCCAGAATGGTAGAAAGTTGTGCTTGAAAACACACATTACACATTACTGAAGATTTTAAGTAAACCGTGATTCTGTTTTGCCACAAAGAACAGCTAGAAGTGCCTTCTCCCTTTCAAGCAAAGCAGAGGCACGGAAGCAAACATTTCTCGGCACAAAAGTGAGTTTGCTCTAAGTGCTGTTTTTCTCCTGTGAGTATTAAACTCTTCTGGTATCTTTCTTAGTCTTGTTTTGGAAGCTTGCACAATCAGAGACTGAAATTACATTTTCTTGATCTCCAAAATTTGTCTGTGAGGGGCACATGAGAATTGCAATACACTGCTCCTTTGCTGTAACACTTACTCCTGCAGTACTTACTTGCTACTTCCCACATGGTGCTCCTAGGGGACTTCCAAGTACAGCCTACATGTTCTTACAATTTCTTTTTAATTCTGTTTTTGCAAGAAGTCATGTAATCACCTGTATCTTCAATTATTCCTCCCTAAAAAGATGACAGCTGGAATTACTGCCTGCTTTCCCTGCAGTGGAAAGCTGCCCCTAGCTATATATTTTCCCATTGACAAGTTGGTCGTGCATCAACATTTACCACAGTAATTTTTCAGGTCATAAAGCACTCATTTTTAGCAGAATCTTAGTTAAGCAAAGGAATAATTGTATTTAAATAATAATAAAAAAAAGCTACAATTCAGACAAAATATTCCTTATTTTCCACTGACTATATAAAGAAGTCAAGCCACTACATGCAACTGAGTTATATCTTCCTTGGTAACTTGAACTATCCAGTGATTTCAGCTCTTCGTGGAACTTCCTTGAAAAAAAATAGGAAAAAAAAAAACCAAAAAAACCCAACCTGTCAGTTTTGTAAGAGACACCTAAAGGAGCTGGAATAAACCCTTATAGTTTAATTTTTTAAGATGTATATTTCATTGCTATGGAGTATTAGAGACAAGTTGGTGTTTTGGTACTTTTAGTATTAGTCACGTTTCCTATACTGTGAAATCACACTCATTTAGGAATTGATGAGCAACCAAAATTTGTCATGATCAATCATGGTTTTTTTGCATAAGGGACTATACATCGCAGGCCTGAGACATAAGCACACTTTCACTCTGAACGCAACTCACTTTTGAAAGTGTCAGCATAAGACAGGATGTTTTTTTTCACGCTGCCTTTTGACCAAGTTAGTTTGGTTACATGGGAACATACATCCGCAGTCACATCAATATCCCGAGACATGAGACATCCATAATGGACTGATAATTACAGTATAAAACTGTACTATCAAGCAGTTTACAGTAATGCTTTTTGAAATGCCTGCTAAACCAGTCTAGACCTGAGACTTCAAGAAATGACCAAAGGACAGCCTCCAGCACAAGTGAGTGCAGACTGTCTGAACCCTTAACCTGCTAGAGGATGAAAGCCACAGGTGTTGCTGTACCTTTCAGACAATCTGCAATGGCAGTTTTCATCCAAATAAACAATCCCCTCCTTGTTTACCAGATTTGTCCTTTATGCAAACATGACTACGTTCAGAGAGCTATGCAAAATTTCTTCCTAAATAAATTCACAGAGCTGTGGAAGAGAAAGGGGTTAAGAAATAAAAATAGCAAAGTGGTACATAAGCCACCTCAGCCTCAATTCTCACACATTTTGCCAAACGCCCTGACTCCAGAAGCTCCACATATCCCGGTTTTCTTGAAAGAGAGGAGAAACAAAACTACACATGAAGAGACAGAGGGGACAGATATTCAGGGTTCTGAGAAGGAAGCAGATGTGTGTTAGCTAGAAGGTACTTTCTTTTATGCAAGTCTAAAGCAGAGTTATGTCATTCAGACACACAGCTTACTGTGAGACAGCACAGACTGTCATGCAAGTTTTGTGGCCCTTTTCCCTAGGGAGACATATAAGAAAGAGGCCACAAGAAATGGTAGGAGAACCTTAGAGAAGCCTTAACAGAGGTTCAATTAATTTCCATCTCCATGCAGAAATTAAGAAAATTGCCATCAGCAAATATCACATTCCTCATTTGGAATAAGAATTCACAAAAAAGAAAGCAATTTAAAGTTCACCAACTTACAGGCACTCTATCATCCTTGCTCTCTTTCTTTATCAGGCAGGAATATAGAGCAAAATATTTTATTAACCTTTAGTGAAGCATATTTAACTATGACCTATTTGCACTAACAAAGAAATGACAATATGAGCACGAAAATAAAATTAGCTTTTTTTTTTTTATAAAAGTGAAGCTACAGAATGAGCAGCAGTTAGTCTGAGGCATGCCAAAACGCAATAGGCTGACTGTAGACTGACTTGCAAAGTCAGAGCAGCTCTATGTACACATCTGCAGAGTGACTGTGCAAGTTTCAGCAACACAAATTCTTCGACCTGCTCAACGCTTGAGCCAAGACATCAGACATGTAAGAGCACATAACATTTGGCATAAGTCTTAAGAACATAATAAAGCAGAATACATATTTCTGTTTAAAATAGTTAACGACATAACCACATACTTACCTAATACCATTCCTGTTAAGCCAAGCAGTCCCTACAAATTACTCTTCGCTGAGTATGGCCTCCCCAGCAAAGGAATGCAGCTGACTGCATGTTTGGTGCAATCATTCATATATGTGTGCATTTGACACACACAGTGTAAAAGCCATGAATGCTCACACTAACTCCCACCTCATACACAAAGACTGAAGCATACTGAAGAGGAAAGGGGAAAAGATCCAAATATCTAAACTTGTAATTTCTTATTTAACAAAAAAATGGAAGGGGAAAAGGAACAGTGGGGTAAACCCACAGTTGTTCAACACTTGGAGCTTTGAACCAACACAGTTCAGAGCAGTTTGGGGGAAGTTTCCAGAGGCATGGAAGGCATTTATTTGTTCAACTCATCACTCCTGTTTTGTTTGTAAAACTGTGAAGCAGTCTGACCATTTTATTCTAAGGCATCTGCTGTCTATCCATACAGAAAAGCATCAAGCATGTTTTCTTGAGAATTCATTTTAGAAGTAATTTCTTATACTGTAACACTGACAAATAAAACACACTATTCTTTCCCTGGGAGATATGACAGCCTACATCATTATTTGTATCCTCTTGGACTATGATATTATACTACCACACCTTTCAGTTATCGGTGATGTCTCTCTTGTTTAAGATGCCCAGTAGTACTTCGTGTTTCTCAGGTCCAGCTGTACTACACAGACTGAAACTGCCAAGTGTCTGTATGGTATTTCATATTTAATACAGCTATTAATGAAG